TCGCGGAACGATTCCAAGAAACCAATTTACAATTCGAACGACGTGGCCGGTTTACGTGTACATTGCGATGCTTAACCAATCAGGATTAAGTCTCTGACAAACGTAGCCAATAGATATCGTGCACGTGGAAGCACCGTCGCTGACTGTTCTTTTCGACGACTTTATTAGTACGACGTCGTTTGATATATTTATTGACAAGGCCCATTGACAATGAAATATGTCGATTATTAAATGGCCCAATATACGAGAGACCCACTTAATTTGGTGTGTTTTATGTTTAGTGAGCTTAATTTGGAATCCGTGAATTTAATAAATGTTGTGAAGTTTTATTCCATGTTAAACTTGAAAGCTTTGATACAATGCATTATTCGTATAGAGACTCTTATATTATCAAGGCCAGTCAGCATGGGACCAAATTAATGATTTCCTCTGTCAAGAAATTACGTTGTGCATTGGTTCAGCACTGTATGAAACAATCAAGAGTAGTTAAATTAATAATTTAGTAGTAATATAATTTGTTTGCTTATCAATTTGCCTGCAAAGAAACATATGGGCTTGATTGACAGAGTATTTTAAAGAGTATTACGCCTTTTATTATTAAAATTTGACTGGTTGACAGAGTATTAAATAAGGCATTTAGTATCTGCAAATACTGTCAAAATACTCCTCTCTCAATGCTCTCAAATGGAGCATTTCTAGACCATTGATCTCTAAATATTTTTACAAGAATAAAGAATAAAATTATATAACTAACCAATTTATTTTATATTACAACAAAAACAAATTATATTAACTATTAATTATTTAAATTCATATTTATCATTATTTTATTTATTCTATTATATTAAGATCATATTATAATATAATACTAATTCAATTAAATATAATTTAAATTCGAAAAGATTATAAGAGAAATTTATGTTATAATTTCTAAATATAATATATAAAAGCATTTCAATAAAAGTAAATATACATAATTTCTGTAATTATAAAACATATATATAWATTAATATTTATCATTTTTTATATGTTCAATTATTTTTAAAATAAATTTTAATAAAAATATAACTTAAATATTAAAATTTATAATTCTTAAACATATTTATATTTATATTAAAATAAAAACTTAATATATACCATTAGTTTATTTGTCATATTATTTGTCAAATAGTATTATAATAAAATAATAATTTAATTAAAAAATAAAAATTGATGTTATAACTTATGACTAATATATATATAATGTATTAGAATACATATAAATAAATAAAATAAAATAATTTATTTTAATTTTATATCTAATCATTCACAGCTCAACCAATCAGCTAAATGTGTATATTAATCAGAGCATACTGCTCCAGCTGTTTATTGCTAATGCTGTATCATGCTACTGCTCATCAAAAAGCTATACCAATCAAGGCCATAGACTGGTTCATGTCAGGTTCTTAAATATCTTCGCATATCGAGGAAACAAACAATACTCAACCGATTTTGTATATATATTGAGTATTTAGTATTATAGAGTGTGCATAATAGTATATTTTGTATATACAGTATGGTGAAATTTAATAATTTTTCTAGGAGTATATTTATCTGTTAGCGAAATCTGACGGATTAATAAAGAGCTCAAATACGTAACATAGAAATTTGGTCGCTGGGGATTTCAAAAGCTCGGCCTTGGTGGTACCAAGAGCTTGTAAAGGTCGGATTTCACCCCTATGAAATTGATACGGCGACGAGATCAACTCCACAACGTCTTGACGAAATCAAAGCAAGACTACAAAAGTTCAGTCTGAATCTAGGCACAAAATGACATTGAACCCATAAGCAAAATGGGTTTAATGGAATAATAGACCTAAATTAGATATATTGTTTAATGGTCAGACCCATTTTATTAGCTGTCCTATTTACCTATAATTCATTAGACAAACTCTTGTATTCTGAAACAGCTTTCTAACAGCTTAATAAAAACCTCTCTTGAGATCTCTATGCTTTGTAGCTTTCCGCAGAACTTTACAAACTCTGAAGAGTTACTTAGATTGAGATTCGACCGCCACATAGCTCCAAATCTCTTTCGCTTGTATTTAATGACTAAAGAACTAGCACTTGCATCGGATCTCAATCCGATCGTGCTCAAGGTTAATATTTTTGATTTTAACCACCTATCTTATCTTTGTTGTGTTGTCTTTACATCCACTTTTGTAACAAGTGAGAACTTTCTGGCAAAGAGTTTTACACTTGTTTATGTTGTAAGCCGTTATTAGTTCTTAATACAAGAAGTTGACTAAAAAAAATTGGCCGCTGAAAAAATTGTCAGGCTTCAATTTTCATATAATTGCGATTTGTGAATACATAAATAGGAGGGACTCTAGCTAAATCAATAAAAACAGACATATCACACGAGTAGGTCCAGATTCCAGAGTACCATTTATACCATTTTACTGTCCATTGGAAAAACGCTGACAAGAGTAAATACGATGTGTGAGTATAATAGGAAGTAAATACGGTGTTATGTGACACAACAATAGCAATAAACAAACAATGGTGTTGACATATTTTCCACGATATGAGGAAAAATAGAAGAAAGTACGATTATACTTGTTAGATGATTGGTCGAATCCGAATTGATTTCTATAATCCAACTTTACTTATAACTTAGATTTAAAATCATTTTTAATTACTATATTGAACGGACCAAAAATAAATAGACTGATTAAATAGTAGACAATGGTATGAATGCACATGTTTATTGAAGCTCCAGTGGACCATTTTTGGATGCGAAAGATGCTAAGATTCAAATGCATATACTGCGAATTTACGGACATTAAGTCTTGTGTCCCTCTAATGAATGAATAAAAGAAATAGGTTACATCAAATAACACACTCTACTGCTCCATTAGGGACAAGGACGAGCCTACTCGGACTGTTCACGAGCTCTCGACCGTGGATGAGCCGCGACATTGGTCTCAATATAGACTTACGTGGCTTATACTATCAGCTGAAATGTGTCGCCATCTCATTAGCC